CAGCCGCCCCGTGCCTGCACCCCTGTCTCCAGGTGCTTCACGAAGGACTCAGTGGCCGCGTGGTGGTCCACGATCGTCACCTTGGCCACCTGCTGCCCGGGGTCGGGGGTCAGGGCAGGTCTCCCGCGGCCTGGTGCGGTCAAGGCTGGGAGCCCCTGTGCACCCCCCAGCACAGACCCCTGGCACCAGCATCTCCCCTGGCATGGACATTGGATCCCACGTGCCCGGCCCCACACCTGGAAGCTGTGCAGCACGGCCACGTTCACCTCCACGGCCGCCTTGTCCTTCCACAGCGACGACGTCTTGCGCGTGTCCAGCCCCATGCGCAGTGCCACGTCCTGCCACAGCACGACCCGTCAGCCCCAGCCCCGGGCAGCAGGGTCCAGGGCCGGCGGGAGCGGGGGGTGTCTCACCGGCAGCACGTCGTAGCGGTGGCTGTCGCAGAGGTTGCGCATGCCGATCTCGGTGCTCACGTACCAGCCATTGAAGGGGGCAGCCGGGAACTGCAGCCCCCCGATCTCCAGCAGCATGTTGGCCACGGCCGGGAGCGCGTACCAGCGCAGCCCCAGCTCCGTGAACCACTCCAGCCTGCGCCGTGCACGTCACGCCATGTCACACAGCGGCTGGAGGGTCTGGCTCCCAGCATCCCCCCACTCCCAGAGCCCGCAGGGACCCAGGGGTCCTGCCCCCAGCCCTCCCCCTAGACCCTGTGTGGACCGTGCTCCACGGTGCCGGGGGGCCCAGACTCACGTGGGGTGCTGGATGGGCACCTCCAGGACCAGCTCGGGCGGGAGGGGGAAGAGTTCGGGGGCCTCGTCGGGCGCTTGCAGCAGCAGGGGCAGCAGGTCGAAGCGGCCCTGCTCCCCGGGCGCCCAGCCGTGCTGGATGCAGAGCTGCAGGGAGGGGGCGGTCAGCAGGGCTGGAGGCCGGCCCTGCTCCCAAGGCCTCTGCCAGTGGGTCCAGCCCCCGGCCGGAGCTGAAGGTGCAACCAGGGGGGCGTTAGGGGCCCTGTGCCGCGAGGCCGCACCTCGGTGATGTCCACGTTGGCGGGGTCGCCGCGCACGGAGCCGTCAGGCTGGCGGTAGCCCGCGTAGCGGATCAGCTGGCTGTTCCAGATGCGGAAGTCCCCGCGGCCCGGCACACGCGGTGAGAAGACGGTGATGGCTGACCTGTGGGGGGGTCGGGTCAGCGCGGTGCCCACCGACGGGCGGCTCCGGCAGCCTGCCCTGAGCACGGGGAGCCGGCACGGGCGGACGTC